TGTTTTTCTATATTTTATATTGATTATAAGTTATCATATATGTATGTGTCAGTGTCCTTTTAGTCCTATTTGACACCTTTAGCTCTCCCTAATGCTATTATAAGATACAATGTACGTCTGATTTTCTCCTGGGCTTTTATAAAGTGTTTTATAAACTGCAAAAACTCTGTTTCCTCCATATGACCCCTACCCTCGTCCCTTCATCTCTCAGCCCTCATTCATCGTTTCTATCCATGCAAGTCGTCTTTAAATACAATATTCTAAATCCACTCCTCTAGTGAAGTGGTATTTGTTAGTGGAAACAGTCCAGACCTGAATATTATAGAGGCAATGTGAGATCACCTCGACAGATGAATAAATAAAAGACAGTCTGGATCTAAAGAAGAGGAGTGGGAAGTTCTGAAAGCAGCCTGGTGAAATGTACCACTGTGATGTACAGTCTGTCCAAAAGAGTTCAAGATGTGCAAAGTTCAAAGTATGGTCACACTAATCAGAAATTAGAAATACTTTATTCATCCTCCTACACAGAATATAGACCATGGGAAAAATAATGATATAAGCTTTGAGCATAAAGATATTAAACAAACAGGAGCAAATGTAACAGGATGCTTTCCAGTGACACACTGATTATGTGAAATACTACAACTAACTGTTACTTTTGTACACATTTCCTGTTGCATTGTAATGAAGAGGCTCAGTAACAACTTCAGAGAGGATCATTAAATCTTTGCTAAAACAACAAAGCTTGTGTTGCTTTGATGATTTACAGCCCGGTCACATGCATGACTGAAACATGATGAAGGTTTAGTTTCACACGTCAGACTGTCTGCAACACACCTGATCTGACAGATCACACACACACACACAGACACACACACACACACACACACACAGACACACACACACACACAGACACACACACACACACACACACACACACACACAGACACACAGACACACACAGACACACACACACACACACACAGACACACACAGACACACACACACACACCACACAGACACACACACACACACACACACACACACAGACACACAGACACACACCCACACACAGACACACAGACACACACACACACACACACACAGACACACAGACACACACACACACACAGACACACAGACACACACACACACACACACAGACACACAGACACACACAGACACACACACACACACACACACACACACACACACACAGACACACAGACACACACACACACACAGACACAAGACACACACACAGACACACAGACACACACACACACACACACACACACACACACACACACACACACACACACACACACACACACACACACACACACACACACACACACACACAAACACCTTGACAGCTGAGATGGAGTGTTGGCCTACATTCACTCTGTTGTCTGAGCTCTCCTGATATCAGAGTCTTTAGAGGGTCATGCAGCTTTAACACATTTCTACTTTGTGTTATTTTAGTTACAAAGCTGCTGAGATAAACTAAACGCTGCTTTATATTCACACTACCCGCCACACACCATTTTTTATCAGTTTTTATTAGTATGATAAGAAGTGTTCACACTGACACGGTTTCACATTTTTACTTTCACACATTTGTTCGTCTGTACTTCATCCTGGAAAGCTGTTACCCTTATAGAGACACAAACCCCGCCCTGCAGGTCATCGTCTGTCTCCATGACAACACGCGGGCGACACAGTCCGAAGGTCACCTGTTCAGACCAAAGCAGGAACAGGTGAGCCTGGGTCACATGTCTGTCTGTCAGGCGGCACCTGCAACACGATAGCCGGAGCTGCATAGTGAAGTCATTGTATAGGCTGTCACATAGCAACCAGGTGTGAAGATAAGGAGGGGAGAAGAAGAAAAAAGACAACGGAAAGACGGAAAGGAGGAGGGGAGAAGAAGAAAGCAAGTTAGTGAGGAGCGAGAGGACGGGAGGAGCAGAAGATTTGAGGAGTAAAAGAAGTACTAAGGGGCTGAAAGTAAAGGAGCTCCGAGTTACAGAACGACCGGAGGAGAGAAAACAGGAGTGAAAGAAGGAGCTGAGAAGTCAAAGGTGCAGAAATGTAACAGAGAGCGTGAGGAAGTAGAAGGAGAACAAAGCTGGTGTGAAGGAACAAGGAGGACGAGGAGCAACACAAAGAAGAGAAACAAAGACTGGAGGTCGGAAAGGAGGACTGCAAAGTAGAAACAACGAGTTGAAACAGGATCGACAGAACGATAAAAAGGGGGACTGGAGGAGTAAAATCAGAGGTGAAGGAGGAGTAGAGGAGGAAGAGGAGCAATAAAAGGAGTAACAGTAAGACGAGGTGTCACCAGACGTTAAAAAAAAGGGCTGGAGGAGTAAAAACAAGAGTTCAAGGAGGACAAGAGGAGAGAATACAGGAGGCGAGAGTTAAAGAGGCGAGGAGTTAAAGGAGGCGAGGAGGCGAGGAGTTAATACAAGAGACGAGGAGTTAAAGGAGGCGAGGAGTTAAAGGAGGCGAGGAGTTAATACAGGAGACGAGGAGTTAATACAGGAGGCAAGGAGTTAAAGGAGGCGAGGAGGCGAGGAGTTAATACAGGAGACAAGGAGTTAATACAGGAGGCGAGGAGTTAAAGGAGGCAAGTAGTTAAAGGAGGCGAGGAATTAATACAGGAGGCGAGGAGTTAAAGGAGGCGAGGAGTTAATACAGGAGGCAAGGAGTTGATACAGGAGGCAAGGAGTTAAAGGAGGCGAGGAGTTAATACAGGAGGCGAGGAGTTAAAGGAGGCGAGGAGTTAATAAAGGAGACGAGGAGTGAATACAGGATTCAAGGAGTTGATACAGGAGGCGAGGAGTGAATACAGGAGACGAGGAGTTAATAAAGGAGGCGAGGAGTTAAAGGAGGTGAGGAGTTAAAGGAGGCGAGGAGTCAAAGGAGGCGAGGAGGAGATGGACAGGAGTGTGATCCGGCTGAGTCACTGTCAGAAGGAGATCTTCTGTTTCTCCGTCCCGGACGAGTGTCCCAGCTGTGGGGAGGAACTGAAGGGGAGCAGACTGCAGGAGGCGCCGGTCAGCCTCCCCTCCCCCTTTACCAACGGACACAAGACCTCCTGCTGCCTGCTGGTCGCACCTGCACACGACAACATCAGCAGGTAAACATGCAGACAAACAGAGACACACACATGACAACCACCAGGTGTACACACAGGTGTTCATCAGGTAAATACACACATTTTTATACACACTGTGTTTGTCCTCAGAGACTTTGACGGGACATCAGATCTGCACACGGGCATCTCCAACACTACAGGTGAGACTCACCTGGACTCTGTTTACTGCTAACTAGCTCATGTAGCCTAATTATGCTAATGTGTGTGTGTGTGTGTGTGTGTGTGTGTGTGTGTGTGTCTCTGTGTGTGTGTGTGTGTGTGTCTCTGTATATGTGTGTGTGTGTGTCTCTGTGTGTGTGTTTGTGTGTGTGTGTGTGTGTGTGTGTGTGTGTGTGTGTGTGTGTGTCTCTGTGTGTGTGTTTGTGTGTGTGTGTGTTTGTGTGTGTGTGTGTGTGTGTGTGTGTGTGTGTGTGTCTCTGTGTGTGTGTTTGTGTGTGTGTGTGTGTGTGTGTGTGTGTGTGTGTGTGTCTCTGTGTGTGTGTGTGTGTGTGTGTGTGTATATGTGTGTGTGTGTGTGTGTCTCTGTGTGTGTGTGTGTGTGTGTGTGTGTGTGTGTGTGTGTAGGGGTTGTGTATAACTACACTCATGGGGGGGTTCGTAGGGAGCAGAGTGGGTGGGAGCGCTGTGTCAGTGTTCCTATGGTTCGACCCGACATGTTCCACCTGCTGGCTCAGTGGGATCGGTACCTGGACCGATTCTCTGATGGACCAATGTGGGACCCGGCCTGGCACAGGTACACCTCACACATTACACAGGTACACCTCACACCTTACACAGGTACACCTCACACCTTACACAGGTACACCTCACACATTACACAGGTACACCTCACACCTCACACAGGTACACCTCACACCTTACACAGGTACACCTCACACCTTACACAGGTACACCGCCAGCCTGACACAGGTACACCTCACACCTTACACAGGTACACCTCACACCTTACACAGGTACACCTCACACATTACACAGGTACACCTCACACCTTACACAGGTACACCGCCAGCCTGACACAGGTACACCTCACACCTTACACAGGTACACCTCACACCTTACACAGGTACACCGCCAGCCTGACACAGGTACACCTCACACATTACACAGGTACACCTCACACCTTACACAGGTACACCTTACACAGGTACACCTCACACCTTACACAGGTACACCTCACACATTACACAGGTACACCTCACACATTACACAGGTACACCTCACACCTTACACAAGTACACCTCACACATTACACAGGTACACCTCCAGCCTGACACAGGTACACCTCACACATTACACAGGTACACCTCACACCTTACACAGGTACACCTCACACCTTACACAGGTACACCTCACACCTTACACAGGTACACCTCACACCTTACACAGGTACACCTCACACCTTACACAGGTACACCTCACACCTCAAACCTTACACAAGTATACCTCACACCTTACACAGGTACACCTTACACAGGTACACCTCACACCTCACACAGGTACACCTCACACCTTACACAGGTACACCTTACACAGGTACACCTCACACCTCACACAGGTACACCTCACACCTTACACAGGTACACCTCACACCTTACACAGGTACACCTCACACCTCAAACCTTACACAAGTATACCTCACACCTTACACAGGTACACACACACACTTACACAGGTACACCTCACACAGGTACACCTCACACCTTACACAGGTACACCTCACACCTTACACAGGTACACCTCACACCTCACACAGGTACACCTCACACCTCACACAGGTACACCTCACACCTTACGCAGGTACACCTCACACTTTACGCAGGTACACCTCACACAGGTACACCTCACACCTCACACAGGTACACCTCACACCTGGAATAGGAAAATGTTACAGTTGCCTCGGATACACCGAGCACACCTGCCCACTCTTACCTGCCCACCTGTCTCTCTCTCTTACCTGCCCACCTGTCTCTCTCTCTCTCTTACCTGCCCACCTGTCTCCCTCTCTTACCTGCCCACCTGTCTCCCTCTCTCTTACCTGCCCACCTGTCTCTCTCTTACCTGCCCACCTGTCTCTCTCTCTCTCTCTCTCTCTACCTGCCCACCTGTCTCTCTCTCTCTCTTACCTGCCACCTGTCTCTCTCTTACCTGCCCACCTGTTTCTCTCTCTCTCTTACATGCCCACCTGTCTCTCTCTCTTACCTGCCCATCTGTTTCTCTCTCTCTCTTACATGCCCACCTGTCTCTCTCTTTACCTGCCCATCTGTTTCTCTCTCTCTCTACTGCCCACCTGTCTCTCTCTTACCTGCCCACCTGTCTGTCTCTCAGGTTCAACGAGGAGGACCATAACTGCTTCAGTTTCTGTCTTCAGTTCGTGAACAGCGTCCTGGCAGCGGAGGGGCGGAGCTCCCTGAGCAGAGAGACCTTCACTCACAGCTTCATCCTGCCGAGGATGAGGAGGGTCTCCAAATACAACACGCTGTACGAGCACATCCAGAGACACCAGTACTACATGGTGGACAGACAGGTGGACAGACAGGAGGACAGACAGGAGGACACACCTGTTCCCAGTTAAACCAGTGTCAGTGAGACAGGCTTATTTACAATCATTTCTGTTTCAAGAAACGAGTGTCCTCATTCTCTAGTTCTGCTGACCAGTTGTCATGGTAACAGCGTGTTTTGGATATTTAGCATAGACTAGATAAGATGGACTGAGCTACAGCCGCCTGGGAGTGAAGCCAAAATATTAAGAGCTCCCCCTGCTGACTGGCTGCGGCATAGGTCCTAAGCCCCGCCTCCTTAATGTTAGCAGATGCAACCAGGGTTAAAGTATAAAGTAAAAATACTCCTCCATTTCTTCACCAGCCTGAGTTAACGAGTAAAGGAAATATATCGAGTGAAATATTAAAATGTAAATACAGTCATTTAAATTAAGAGTACTGAGGACCCCCCCCACCTTGTTTTCCCCTCTGACTTCTTTCTCTGTCCTCTTCTATTTGTAATTTATTTCCTTCATTCATAATAAACTAAAAATGTATTTATGTATCAGGATGAACAAAATAATTTATGTGATATAGAAACCTGTAATAATAAAGACATAAAAACAGAGTGTGTCGTGATGTTAGCTTGTTAGTGGACGGTAAGTCACAAAGAGTGAATGTAACTTCATGATTGACAGCTCTGTTGACAAATGAGGCTCCTGCACCACAGGGAAAGGTATGGTGGCCCTGAAGGTCAACTGCAAAGACATCTCAAGAAATCCAGAAACATCCCCCCATACTGGACTAAACAGATCGTCGAGTAGCTAAACATAAAACAGGCAGATATGAATGTGGACATGAAGAACAGTGGGACATGTTTTTTCTACACCGTCAGAAATATGAGGTAGAGAGAAAACAGCTGATTTATGAACTAACACAGGATATTATGTCGTGCACACTTTAGTTTTTGTTCTTATTGGGACTTAGTAAGTAATAAGCCTATAAGATACATTATAAATCCTGACCACACTCCGCACCAGTAGGGGGCGCACATCATAGACCAGTTCGTTTCGTCAGAGAAAGAAAGAGGAGAAGGGGCGTGGTCAGATCTGAAGGCGGAATACGTGAAGCCGAGAAGAGACGCCGGACACATATTAGTGTTGCACCGCAGCGTCCGACAGCAAAACAAATCCGACTGGAGGTTTTTCTGAATGAATGAAACCAACACGTTTTAGAAAAGCGCGTCTGTTAAAAAGTCTACATGCTAACATGCTAATATCCCTTAAAGCTAACAGCAGCGTCTCTGACTGACAGACCTCCGACCCGGTCTGGTTCGGTCCCAGCCGGTCCCGGAGGTATGCAGGCGGAGTTCCGGGCTCCTCGGAGACGACCCCGGGTCTATGAGGACTACGAGGCTCCGCTGCCGGTGAGCCGCAGTCCGGAGGAGAGGAGCGACTTCCGGGCGGAGCTCATCAACCAACACGTGCTGGTCTGTCATCAGGACCACATCCAGAAGATCCACAACCAGGTCCGAGTTCATCCATATCAATATGTCCTCCTAAACCGGGTCTGAGTTAATCTAGGTCCTCTTAAACCGGGTCTGAGTTAATCTAGGTCCTCCTAAACCGGGTCTGAGTTAATCTAGGTCCTCTTAAACCGGGTCTGAGTTAATCTTTGTCCTCCTAAACCGGGTCTGAGTTAATCTAGGTCCTCTTAAACCGGGTCTGAGTTAATCTAGGTCCTCTTAAACCGGGTCTGAGTTAATCTAGGTCCTCTTAAACCAGGTCTGAGTTAATCTAGGTCCTCTTAAACCGGGTCTGAGTTAATCTAGGTCCTCTTAAACCGGGTCTGAGTTAATCTAGGTCCTCCTAAACCAGGTCTGAGTTAATCTAGGTCTTCTTAAACCGGGTCTGAGTTAATCTATGTCCTCCTAAACCGGGTCTGAGTTAATCTAGGTCCTCCTAAACCGGGTCTGAGTTAATCTAGGTCCTCTTAAACCGGGTCTGAGTTAATCTAGGTCCTCTTAAACCGGGTCTGAGTTAATCTATGTCCTCTTAAACCGGGTCTGAGTTAATCTAGGTCCTCTTAAACCGGGTCTGAGTTAATCTAGGTCCTCTTAAACCGGGTCTGAGTTAATCTAGGTCCTCTTAAATCGGGTCTGAGTTAATCTTTGTCCTCCTAAACCGGGTCTGAGTTAATCTAGGTCCTTTTAAACCGGATCTGAGTTAATCTAGGTCCTCTTAAACCGGATCTGAGTTAATCTAGGTCCTCTTAAACCGGGTCTGAGTTAATCTAGGTCTTCTTAAACCGGGTCTGAGTTAATCTAGGTCCTCTTAAACCAGGTCCGAGTTCATCCATATCAATATGTCCTCCTAAACCGGGTCTGAGTTAATCTAGGTCTTCTTAAACCGGGTCTGAGTTAATCTAGGTCCTCTTAAACCGGGTCTGAGTTAATCTAGGTCCTCTTAAACCGGGTCTGAGTTAATCTAGGTCCTCTTAAACCGGGTCTGAGTTAATCTAGGTCCTCCTAAACCAGGTCTGAGTTAATCTAGGTCCTCCTAAACCGGGTCTGAGTTAATCTTTGTCCTCTTAAACCAGGTCTGAGTTAATCTAGGTCCTCCTAAACCGGGTCTGAGTTAATCTAGGTCCTCTTAAACCAGGTCTGAGTTAATCTAGGTCCTCTTAAACCAGGTCTGAGTTAATCTAGGTCTTCTTAAACCAGGTCTGAGTTAATCTAGGTCCTCTTAAACCAGGTCTGAGTTAATCTAGGTCCTCTTAAACCGGGTCTGAGTTAATCTAGGTCTTCTTAAACCAGGTCTGAGTTAATCTAGGTCCTCTTAAACCGGGTCTGAGTTAATCTAGGTCCTCTTAAACCGGGTCTGAGTTAATCTAGGTCTTCTTAAACCAGGTCTGAGTTAATCTAGGTCCTCCTAAACCGGGTCTGAGTTAATCTAGGTCCTCCTAAACGGGGTCTGAGTTAATCTTTGTCCTCCTAAACGGAGTCTGAGTTAATCTTTGTCCTCTTAAACCGGGTCTGAGTTAATCTAGGTCCTCTTAAACCGGGTCTGAGTTAATCTAGGTCCTCTTAAACCGGGTCAGAGTTAATCTAGGTCCTCTTAAACCGGGTCTGAGTTAATCTAGGTCCTCTTAAACCGGGTCTGAGTTAATCTAGGTCCTCTTAAACCGGGTCTGAGTTAATCTAGGTCCTCTTAAACCGGGTCTGAGTTAATCTAGGTCCTCCTAAACCGGGTCTGAGTTAATCTAGGTCCTCTTAAACCGGGTCTGAGTTAATCTAGGTCCTCCTAAACCGGGTCTGAGTTAATCTAGGTCCTCTTAAACCAGGTCTGAGTTAATCTAGGTCCTCTTAAACCGGGTCTGAGTTAATCTAGGTCCTCTTAAACCAGGTCTGAGTTAATCTAGGTCCTCTTAAACCTGGTCTGAGTTAATCTATGTCCTCCTACACCGGGTCTGAGTTAATCTAGGTCCTCTTAAACCGGGTTTGAGTTAATCTAGGTCCTCTTAAACCGGGTCTGAGTTAATCTAGGTCCTCCTAAACCAGGTCTGAGTTAATCTAGGTCCTCCTAAACCGGGTCTGAGTTAATCTTTGTCCTCTTAAACCAGGTCTGAGTTAATCTAGGTCCTCCTAAACCGGGTCTGAGTTAATCTAGGTCCTCTTAAACCAGGTCTGAGTTAATCTAGGTCCTCTTAAACCAGGTCTGAGTTAATCTAGGTCTTCTTAAACCAGGTCTGAGTTAATCTAGGTCCTCTTAAACCAGGTCTGAGTTAATCTAGGTCCTCTTAAACCGGGTCTGAGTTAATCTAGGTCTTCTTAAACCAGGTCTGAGTTAATCTAGGTCCTCTTAAACCAGGTCTGAGTTAATCTAGGTCCTCTTAAACCGGGTCTGAGTTAATCTAGGTCTTCTTAAACCAGGTCTGAGTTAATCTAGGTCCTCCTAAACCGGGTCTGAGTTAATCTAGGTCCTCCTAAACGGGGTCTGAGTTAATCTTTGTCCTCCTAAACGGGGTCTGAGTTAATCTTTGTCCTCTTAAACCGGGTCTGAGTTAATCTAGGTCCTCTTAAACCGGGTCTGAGTTAATCTAGGTCCTCTTAAACCGGGTCAGAGTTAATCTAGGTCCTCTTAAACCGGGTCTGAGTTAATCTAGGTCCTCTTAAACCGGGTCTGAGTTAATCTAGGTCCTCTTAAACCGGGTCTGAGTTAATCTAGGTCCTCTTAAACCGGGTCTGAGTTAATCTAGGTCCTCCTAAACCGGGTCTGAGTTAATCTAGGTCCTCTTAAACCGGGTCTGAGTTAATCTAGGTCCTCTTAAACCGGGTCTGAGTTAATCTAGGTCCTCCTAAACCGGGTCTGAGTTAATCTAGGTCCTCTTAAACCGGGTCTGAGTTAATCTAGGTCCTCCTAAACCGGGTCTGAGTTAATCTAGGTCCTCTTAAACCAGGTCTGAGTTAATCTAGGTCCTCTTAAACCGGGTCTGAGTTAATCTAGGTCCTCTTAAACCAGGTCTGAGTTAATCTAGGTCCTCTTAAACCTGGTCTGAGTTAATCTATGTCCTCCTAAACCGGGTCTGAGTTAATCTAGGTCCTCTTAAACCGGGTCTGAGTTAATCTAGGTCCTCTTAAACCGGGTCTGAGTTAATCTAGGTCCTCCTAAACCGGGTCTGAGTTAATCTAGGTCCTCTTAAACCGGGTCTGAGTTAATCTAGGTCCTCCTTATGTCTTGTTTCAGGGTTATTTCGGGAAAGGGATCCTGTCCAGAGCCAGACCAGACCACAGCATCTCTAACCAATGGGAGCGTGAGTTTGCACCCTCGCTATGACATCATCATTTGTTTGGTCCTATCAGGGCTGTTCACTGCAGTCAGCTGGTCTCTTTTTCTGTTTCAGAACACGAAGGTGTGATGCTACCTGTCATCTCCCAGTCCAGGTCAGTGACATCACATCCTGTCTGTGCATTTACATGATGACATCACATGTTAGGCTCCTCCTCTTGCACAACCCTATGAGACAACTCCCACATTCTCCTCCTCTCCACCTCTCCTCTCCTCCTTTCCTTTCCTCCCTCCCCTCTCCACCTCTCCTCTCCTCTCCTCCTCTCCACCTCTCCTCTCCTCTCCTCTCCTCTCCTCTCATCCTCTCCTCTCCGTTTCCGTTTCCGGTTTCCGGTTTCCGGTTTCCGGTGAGTGTGAGTGTGAGTGACGGTGGTGGTGTTGCGAGTGGCGCGGAGATTGAATTGTTTGCTATCCTTTCTACTGTTTTCAAAGTGCACGATCAGGTCAGATTGTTTTCATATTTATATTGAGTGTTGTTGGCTGTGTAAGACAGATCGTTGGAGGGGTTGGAGGGAGGAATGGCGTCTGCTGAGACGCCACCTCCGACTCTCCGACAGGGAGTTCGGATAGTCCCTCCGAACGGTACTGTCACCGTGGAGGAGGTTCTGTTAGCTGCAGGTGAACAGGTAGGCCATGAGAAACTCTTGTATGCATCCCGAATGAACAAGGCTGTGGTTGTTTTTCTGAAGAGTGAGCCTCTTGTGTATCAGCTGATTGAGAGTGGTGTGTTCATTAGGGATTTGTTTGTGCAGGTTTCCCCGTTGTCGGTTCCCTCTACGCG